CGGTTTATGTCAATTGAGTTACAGAAAATGGCAATGCAGCAGGAACATTGTGAAATTAAGGAAGATAGGCTTTAGATACTTGAGATTTGTTTCACGGTTTCAGCTTCGGTTGCAGAATCCATAGGATCAGACCTCTGTCTTCATTTTTCATCTGTAACAGCCTCCTTGTTTGAAATTCTTTCCCTAGACTTTAGTATAGGATGGAAACATGTCAATCCACTTTTTTCCCCTTGATTGGACTATAATATATTAAGCATTCATAAACTTGTTTTTTCATATTTTCATTTGCTTTGTAGGAATCATGTCGAGAAGTTGAAACTGTAATCAGATCCTTGAAACCGCAGGTTCTTCTCCTAACAGTTCATTGAGGACTAAAGTGTTATATCCTCATGTGTTATTTTACTCAATACTTGGTGATGCTTGCAGGCTGTCTTTGTGGAGTTGTGTACAAGTCGATTGTCTATTCTCACACCTCAGACTCTGAAGGTTTCCTCTACATAATTCTTATAACATGTCCAATTCAGTTTATTTCTTAGCAGTTTATGGTCGTCTACACTGTAGACTCTACAGACATAACTTATAATGAATCTATCTCTTCTATCCATTTTTTTGTTTATTCTTGAAAGATGCCATGTTTTGTTTTTTTCCAGGAACCAACTTGGATGGAAATGATAGACATGTGGAAGAAGAACCACAACCTATTTGAAATACTTTACGGATATATTCTTGCAAAGGCATGCTTCCGTGGTTCAGATCTACTTTGATTGTAGCTTAAATTTCCAGACTAATAATTTACATCATTTTCTTATGTGTAGGCCGCCAAGAAGCTTGAAGTTTTTCCTGGTGCTGAATTTCGTGTGGCATTTGAAGAGGCAAACAAATATGGTGGCGCAGTGTTTCCTGGCGATCGTCCAGTACAGGTGACTTTGGCGTTCAGAGCTCAAACCTTTCTTATAGGAATGTTATGAATTGCATCTCTGTTTTTAAATTGTGTTCTAGTGAGTATTCAGTTTCTTTCATATTTGTCGAAGCAGATCACGCTACAGAGAACATGGGGTAAAATGCCTCTATGGCACAAAATAAAACTAGTGTACAGCATAGTGTCTCAAGCTGTCTTTCTGCCGAAGCCTAAGGAACTTGAGAAGATGGTAAAAATCTGTTCTTCCTTTTTTTTTCCCCATTTTTGTGATTCAGTCATAGTAAATATTGAGTGATGATAAAATTGGATGGCTTTAGCTGAAAGACATGAGCGATGCTGATATGCTGACATTGGTGATTCAAGAAATGAGCAAGGAATTTCCGTCTCTCATGGAGACACTTGTGCATGAGCGAGATAAGTTAGTACTATCCTCTCTAATATAGAGTTTATAAGATTAATCGACCACTTCCTCTTTGTTTAGAAAAGTGAACTTGTATTATCAGTAATAGTTGTATCAAATTTAGCTTTCAAGCTCTTTTTCCTTTAAGCTCTTAATTAGCTAATCTTAAAACATAGAAAACTCAAAAGTTTGGTCCAGATTTTTGTCTGATCTATTTGCATTATATCTCAGGTACATGGCATATTATTTGTTGAGACTTGCAAGTGAGCATAGTTCAGTCGTGGCAGTTGTCGGTAGAGGGCATCTTCAAGGGATCAAGAAGAATTGGAACCAACCTATAAACGTTAGTAACCTCATTATACACATTTGGTTAAAAACAACACAATAAACAGAACTAATTTTGTCACCATTATTGTGGTAATGGTATTGCAGATAAAGGAACTATTGGAGTTACCGACAAATGAATCGATTTTTACTGTAAAGAATATTCTGAAATATCTGGTGGTTGCAGTCGCCGGGACAGCCATAGTTTCCGGCATGTATCTTGCTAAGTAAATTAATCTCAAGGTGGAGTGAGTTTCTCATGAGGAGAATAAAACGTAGGCGATATAACAGATGATGACATAAACTTCAATAACCGTTATAAACTTATGCTGTCATGATCTTATTTATTTTTGGTTTTAGGATGAATAATTTCGTAAGAACTATACAAATCAATTCTTTTCCCTTCCATGTGTCAATTCAACTACTAATTCCATTTTTTTTAAGCTTTGAATCATTTTTATTCCATGTATCCAACCTTAAGTTTTTGACTTTACAGCTATATCAATTATTTTATTTTCATTTTCCATTATTTTTTCGCTATAAATGCTAAACTACACAATCGAATATCATGCCAAATTCAGTTACAATCACGATGAGAACCATAGTTCTATAAGTTATAACAGACACACACATGAACAAGACCCAACTAAACATCAGAATATTATCATGAATAACTTATGCATTTCAACAACTGGCATTCTCCACTGTATATATATGTGTTTATTATATAGTATACATTACGCATTGTGGAACCATTGTCCCTTTTCTCCATAACATAAGCATATCAGACACATTTTTTACTCTCTGAAAATATGATAGTGACAATTGTTTCATATACACAAGAATTCACCATGGAAATCAGTGAACAAGAATCTGTGTTGGAGGTCAAGAAACGTTTAGGACAGTTTCTTCAGATCCCAGCATCTTCTTTAACTCTCTTTGTCTCTTGTTGGGAACTCATCGACGGTCTTGACATCGAAGATTACCCAATCATCTCTCACGGCACCAGAATCGACCTCACCGTAACTCCCTTTTTCACCGCACCGTCTTTTATCAACCCGGCCGTTAGAAAAATCCACGTCACCGTCAAGTTCCCGTCAAAACAGTTCACCGTTGAAGTAGACAGAACCGAAACGGTAATAGCATTACCTCTCATTTACAGTTTTTGAGTTTTCTTGATTAAAAAGGTACTAATGTTTTGCAGGTAAGTAGCTTGAAGGACAAGATTCACATTGTGGAGAACACACCGATAAAGCGAATGCAGTTATACTATTCCGGGATTGAGCTAGCTGATGATTATCGAAACCTAAACGAATATGGAATCAGTGAATTCTCAGAGATTGTGGTGTTTCTCAAGTCGATCAACCGAGCCAAAGACGTTGCTCCGGTGAGGAAACTCTGTTTCTTGGTGCAGACGTCATCGAGTTTATTCAACGGTGCGAGGATTCCTGTGGAGATAAGACGTCGCTCGCTGGAGGCTACGATTCAGCTTGCTGCACTGCCGTCTTAGAAAAACGGGCCCCATACCTTTTTTTTTTTTTTTTTTTTCTTTTTTTTCTCTTTTTTTTTTTCTACCAGGAGGCAAGTATTCCCATTCCCGCCTTCTTTTCAGCCCGTCGGCATGAGCTTAAACAAAAATATGTAGTGTAGTAGTTGATGTTAGTAATTTTTGTTAGTGTTTTCGATATTTTATTGCTAAAAAATTAAGTGTTGACATTTCAGAATTCGATGTTTTATTTTAAAATCGTTATATATCATAAAATTTACCCGTGTCATACCTAGTTATAATTAACTGATATTACGACTAGCGGAGTGAGTGGTCCCTACAACTTACATTTGATTTGTTCAATTAAACATTTACTAATCTAATCTCTTGTTGAATGAGCATTTTTGAAATTCCTCCCATATAGATAAGAGTCTCGTTAATGATTATAGTAATATTTTCAATTAGTTAACAAATAAATGATAGTGCGACTAGCAGAGTAGGTGAACCCTACACTTTTAAGATGTTACCATCGATTTTTTGGAACGAGCAAATCGTCGAATATTTAAAACTCGATTAAATTTTTTATTAACGTTAATGTATGGTAATGTACTATCTTGAATATAAATCTCTTTTTCATTAACAATGTAGATAATCATGTTTTTAATTTATTAACAAAAATGAGTTTTAAATAGTGCGACTAGCGAGTAGGTGGACTCTACAACTTCAAGATGTTACCATCGATGTTTTAGGTATACAAGAAAGTCGCCGGATATTTAAACTCTATTAAGAGCTTTACTAATGTAATGTTTGGTAATGTATTATCTTCATCTTTTGACCAGTCGAATTTTCCGGTTAACTGGATTCTCTAGCCTGAAATGGCCAACTAGATTTGAGAACCAACCACTGTCCCATAGAGAAACTTTTGATCTGTTTTTTCTACAGAGAAGACGGAGAATAAACAAAAGAAACTAAACAGAACAAAATCAATTTTTTATTATGCTGGTAAGACACCTAAAACAATGTTTAGTTGTTTACTTGTATACCAAGAAACAATATAACAAGATAATCACAAATGCAAAACAATAAAAATGGAATTGTTAAAACAAATCTCATATCAAATCAAGAAACCCTAGATTTCCTCTTTATTATCTCCTTCTTCACCCTCTCTTGGTTCCTCTTTGACATCATCATCACCATTATCCTTTGCTTCACCATCCTTCTCATTCTGCTTCGCTTCTTCATCTTCTTCAACTTTCTCATCGCTATCTTCTTCTTCATCCTTCATCGCTTGATCCTTCTCTTCCCCGTCTATTTTTGGCTTTTCGTCTTCTTCTTCGTTTCCTCTTGGACTCTCTGCTTCCGACGAAACCTCCTCCATAGGATCATCATCATCTTCTTCTCCTCCTTTAGATTCCTCTTCCTCAGAAACCAAATCAGGATGCTTAAAGAACAAATACATATGAGAATCTTCTCCCACTCCTAAATCTCTCAGCATCATGTCATCTTCATCCTCCATCACCATCCTTCTCGTCTCTTCATCTCCGATGACAAGTATCAAACGAGTCACCGGTAATTTCACCTCCGCCGCGATCTTCTCCTTCAGTTCTTTGACCGTCGTATCTTCACTCACGTCCGCATCAATAAACGTCCCCGTTATTATCTCCACACTCACTTTCATTGTTTAATATCTCTCTCCACCAAATCTTATGATTTTGATTGTTGAGACAAATATTCATATCTTTTATTGTTTCTATTGTTTCTTTTATTTTATTTAGTTTTTCGTTTTTGGTTATTTTGTTTGTTTTGGCAATGGTTTTTTGGTTTTAAGATCTTGCTATGTATAAAAACATGAACTAACCAAACACAAAGCATGCCCTTTTCATTTCAATTCAATATCAAATATCAGATATCGTGTTTGATTTTATGGAAATTATTATCTTGTTTTATCTCAATTTTGTTGCGGATATCTTGCAACAAGATTGTTTTACATGTTTTTTTTTTAATACATGTGAGTTTGACTAAGTAGGATTCATCCACAAAATCCCCTCCTCAAGTTTAGGGAACTAATTAACACAAACAAGACAAAATTAAGGAACTATATATATGATGATTAAATCATACCGATTTTTTCGATGCATTTCCGACTAATTTGTGGTCGTCGGAAATGACCATATCTTTCCGACGAATTTTCAATCTGAAGATTCTTTGGAATGTGGTCGGAAACTCGTCGGAAAATTTTCGACTACGTTTTTTCTTCGGGAATGGTCATCAGAATATGCTATGTTTTCTTGTAGTTATATAAAGTTCTTCTACTTCTAATTACTGTATATCTAAAGATTTTACTAAAAAGAAACATAATTAGGGTAATCACTCTGGTTTTTGTATGTAATCCACGTAACAAATTTATCCAAACAAACAGAAAAATATACTTATAAAATTTTGTCTAACAACCATTGATCGTTTCTACTATATTTGTAAATGATACTCCAGCACACTGTTGCGCCTTCCACATTAACAAAGTCGCGATGAGTTTATGACGTGGGCTTATTATTAATGGACTCTTCTCCATATTTATTAGAGGCTTTTATTCACCTTTGATGCCAGGGGGCTTATTAAGACCTACGCTCATGATGTTTTTTTTTTTTTTTAATATCATGAGATTCTGGGTCGAAGCCCGTAATTCTCAGGCCCGAAACTACAACATGTAATATTAGTTTTGTCCCAAGCGTCACTCGAACCGGCGATCTTTAAGCTTCGTCTTGGGTCTTTACTCTTTACCCTCATGATGTTAATTAAGAGATAATCATTTTTTGCCATTAATTAAATTTCAATATCTATTATTGGTTACCCCGGTTGTTTTAACTTAAGCCATCAAATATTCAATATGTAACAAGGAAGCTGTGTATATATTACAATATTACACTCGTTACTCGAACATACTTAATTAAATGTACATAGTGGATATGATATACCTCTATCTAGTGGGTTTACCTATCTAGTGGGTTTAAGGTTCGATCACTAATATGTATGCCGTTGAATTAATTCATTGTTAACAAAGTGTAATAATTTATATAATGCTCGGTCTTAAACATGATGACTTGAACATATTCTCTAATCAAAGTTTTACAGTAATTCTAGTGCAGCTTGGATATATATAATTTGTATTTTTTTAGACAATATTTTCTAACAAAAAATAAAATTAGAATGATAAGAGTGATGCTTTCTAAATGAAAATGAGAGTGCAAATTTAGATTAGAGGCCATATAATTTTATGTTGTAGCTAGTGAGTGTGAGTTTTGGATGAGACCTATTCAAAATCCTCAAAACTAATTAATTGGTTAAACTATAGGGGCTTTTGCAAAAATGCCACTTTTTCAATACCACTTTTTAAAAATACCCTTTTTTAAAACCTTATAAAAAATGCTCTTAAAAATATAAGATTTACCTAAATATGTATGTAATATTATTAAAACATACACAAACTACATTTCTATGTATCTAAAATCTTATAAATACTTTATAAATACCTTATAAATGCATTTTAAATACCTTTAAAAACTTTTAAAATATCTTGTAAAACCTTTGAAAAACCTTAAAAAACCTTTAAAATAACTTGTAAAACCTTTAAAAACATCTTATAAAACCTTATAAATACTTGGATCGAGTCTTCAAGTAGTAGTTACAATCCATAAGTACCTTATAAACCTAATAAAACTTTATAAAAATTTCAGATTTAAAAAAGGGCATTTTTGAAAATGGACATCCAAATGAGACATTTTTTTAAAAGGGGCACACCAAAAAGAATATTTTTAACAATTTCTCTAAACTATATATTGTAACATAGGAACAGTTGAAATTGTAAATATATCCAAAATTTCTACAAATCATAGTTAGCCATTTTGAACAGTTGAAAAAGTAACGGCAAAATCTGCTACATGTTTTGTCTGTTTGCCTACGTCAGGTTTGCCTACGTCATATTTATTTTAAATAAACAATTATATAAGGGAAAAAATATAATTAATAAAAGCTACTTTTGGATTTATATGTTAAAAAGGGTAAGGACGTTAACAATTGAAAGGTGTAAATCTAGAAATTTGGAATTGCAATGAGTACATGAAACCGTAAAAACATATAAACGTCAAAAAGAACCAAAAAAACGTCTACATATGAAACGTGTACAGGCAAGCATGCTTATTCCGTGAAGGTGCATGATAAAACTACAAACGACAGACTATAGTGTAATAGAGGGAAATTAGTGTAAAGAAACAAAACCAAAATTTGACTGTAACCAAAATGGTTAAATGTTAGGGCCACAAACTGTTTAGCAGTCAAAATAGGTAACTTGCTTTCCGTTACCATTGGACCCATTTCATTTCTTAACCTGGTTTGCAGAATTCACTATTTCACGAGTTGGGTTTAGTGACACATTCGATAAAAACAAAAAAAAGAGATTTTTTATATTCAACCAGCTGCTCACACTTTTCACAATAGTCTATATAAATTTAGGATTTAAATTTGATTTTTACTTAAATAATAAACTTATATTGTATCTGAAGTATGAGAAATATCGTGAACTAGAAGTTTTGAATGATATGATATTATGTTAAATTTTAGATTACCAGATAATAGAACCAATTATGTTAAATTATTTTTAAAAGTATGAATAATTTGAATGATATGATATTTCAAATATAAACTAAATTTCATTTTTGATTATAAATTTAAATATTTGTTTTAAGTTTGACTATTATGATTAATTTTTTGGTCAAACTTATTTAAGATGGTAAAATAGTAAAAATAATTGTATGACCGACGACTAAGAAATTGTACCTTGGTTCTTATGTTTTATCTAGTGTCACTCGTTACGTCACTATCCATATTTAAACATGTATATTACACATTATTGATAGAAAAATAATTGACCAATGACTAACTATGTTCAAGGATATTGGATAATGCAATGACTAGCTATTAAAGTTACTTAAATAAATTTTACCAATTATTATAAATTGAGATTTGAATATATTTAATAAATATTAACGATCGATCGAGTCAATAATAATACTATGGATTTTTTGTTTATTTTACTGTTCCGCCGACTTTATGTTCTTTTTTGTCCGCCGGCTTTTTTTTTTTGTTATGCACGATCGATCTATTCAATAATGCTATCATAGATATTTTATTTTCTTTCTTATTTTGTTCACCTTTGTATCTTTATAAACAATCGATAGGGTCAATAAAAGCGCTTTGTAGTTTCTGTAATTCATTCGGTACATCTCATATCTATAAATATTGTTATTGAATCGATCGATTATATTATGAATCTTCTAACATTCAAATATTAATTTATTGTCATCATTATCAAAACAACTAATCATACTTGAATTTTTTTCTATGATAATAAGTTGCAAAGTTTTTATTTTATTTTAGTCTTTCCTAAACTATTCATGGTCCATTTCACTATGAATTCAAATCTTAAAATTTAAATAATTTTACATTATTTCTCCTAGGCTCATACCATATAAGCATAATTTTTTTATAGAAATCTTTGTTTCTCTAATTAGAATTTCAAAAATGACTAAAGCTAAATATACCAAAAATGGTTAAAAATATTTCAATGGCATTAAGTCTAAATTTTATTATATTTCTCTTTTAATGGAGAAAACTTAATTTAGTTTTTTTATTTATTTATTTAGTTAAAATTATGTAATAATACCATAAGCGTATTTGGAAAACCAATTGAATTATGACACATAGATGAAGAGATAGAAGCATCTTCTCCACTTTTTTTTTTATTATTTATCATTTTAACGTGTAGCTTTCTCTCTCTCTCCTTCGAGCGTGTAGGGTTAAGTAAGTGTCTCCCTCTCTACCTATAAATATGTGTCTATAAACCCCTAAATTCACTCGCACTCTCAGCACTTTCACTTACCTCAAAACCGCTTCCTAAAACCATAAGCTGTTTCCCGACAAAACCTATTTCCTTTCGATACTATCCAAGAGTTACTCCCATATTTCATCGACAATGTAATATGCCTACCATTCATTATTTTTCACTGCTCATTAATTAATCTCAAATATATCATGGATCTCAACCCTTTTCATTTGATTAAATTTCGTTGCACAATTCCCTTTTTATATGGTAAACGTATCGAGTTATCAGTACCATCTTTGTTGTATCTATCATATACATCAAATGATGAACTGATTCTTGTATATCTTGCTATTGGGACCGAATTTTGTTTAACTTTTTTTGTTTTCGTTTGTAGAAAAAGAGTGAGCCAAAGATGGAGTGATAGATCAAGCTAGCAACGGAACAATAAACATAAAAAGATTTGATTTTTCTGATTTTATCACAGCCAAAACTTCAAAAGGTACTGTTGGATTATCTTCGTTATCCTTTGTATTTTATGTTTATGTTCTAAATTATGCATCCCCGATTATATAATTTATATCCAACAAAATACAAAGATGATAACAAAATAGTGGGAAAATTTATTACATCGCACACAATTATTATTTGCTGCTTGGTCGGTACATATACATATAGTACTCTGACTCATATATACCATGTTTTTTTTGTGTCTCTTTCTCTATCCAAAAATTGATAATTTTTCTGAAGGGAAAAAATAAATGTTGAGTGGTAGATCTTTTTTACAAAACCAATTTTAAATCTATCAATTAATTTTTTACAATATTGTTTTGATTAAAATCAAAATAAATTTAATTATATCTTCGATCTACTTATATATGGTCATTTTATTTGTTTTGGGCAAATGAATCCAACAATTCTCTTTTTGTATTCTTTTCCTCTCTATTCCCTCCTTGTTCTATATTTAGATCTCTACAAATTGTGAAACCCTCGAATAAAAAATCAATTAAAACAAACATCTAAAAACTTTTTTTTGCCTAGATCCCATACTCTGACTTTTAAACTAGTCTCGGAGAGTTCATAAAGTTAGGGCTTTTTTATTAATTCATGTCCTTTGCAAAATATTTTTGGGGTTAATTTAATAGTCTATATAAAATTCATTTTGTTTGCGTTTATTTGTTAATCGGTACTGGTGGGTCTTTTGATTCCAACTATCATCCTCAATTACTTTGTCTAGTTTTTTATTTTGTCTGTTTCTCTTTTATTTATAAGATCTTCTAGATAAAAGTTAAAAAAGTGGGTTGACTTCGAAAAGCAAACTTTTTGTTGTCTGGAATTTAGTGAAAGAGAGTGTACTGTTGTGTCTGACTGTGCAAAAATCCCAATCTTGGATAAAAAATCCTTTTTGATTCTTGTACTCAAGAACAAAGGAAAACAAAACCTTTTTCACAAACCCTAATTTCTAGATCTTATGAGTTCTTATCATTTTATATCTCTCTAATTTGTGAAGTAACTCATGATTGTTTTCAACTCTCAGATCTTTCAGAATCCCAAAGACAAAAACAAACAGCAAAAATGTCTCAGTCAAACATGGTACCAGTGGTTAACAACGGAGATGGTGATAACAACGAAAACAACAACGTTAGCAACAACAATGGTGGAGCTGACAACACTAATGCTGGAAATCATTCTGGAGATCAAGAACTCGAAAGTGGGAATACCTCAAGTGGCAATCATGGAGAAGGGTTGCGAAACAACCAAGCTCCTCCTCCTAAGAAAAAAAGATACAATCGTCACAGCCAAATTCAGATTCAGGAGTTGGAATCGTAAATTTTATTCATTTCTTTAAATAACTTAGCTTCTATCTAGCTAGATCAATAATTAAATTACTCTATAATATTCACATCTCTTTTTTTTTTTTGTTGTTGAATATATAGTTTCTTCAGAGAGTGTCCTCACCCAGATGACAATCAAAGGAACGCACTTAGCGTTCAATTGGGATTGGACCCTGTTCAGGTCAAGTTCTGGTTCCAGAACAAACGCACTCAAAGCAAGGTATGTATATATATGTAATAAATTTACACAATCTCATACATATTTAATGTATGTATATATAGGCATATGAGTAGGTTTTGATTCTTGGTATATACGTGTACAGAGTATGATGATTCCACATACATATGTTATATGTTGAACTGTAGTATAGGATTAATGTGATATGAATGAAATCAAGTTTTTTAGATTTTAGGTTTTTTTTTTTCTTTTTTCGTAAGAGAGTATTATAATAACGTTTTGAAACATGTGAAGTGAACGCAATTAATACAGCATTTGTTTATTTATTCTATTCTTTATTCACTTGAAAACCAAAAAGTTGATTCTCTTTGTTGCTTCCATATCCAAAGATAACGACTTAATTAATTAGTTGGTTTGTCATTTGAAATATAAACTAATTAATTTTGTTTTGATTTGCAGAATCAACAAGAACGCTTAGAGAACTCAGAACTTCGGACTGCCAACAACCAGCTTAAGGCTGAGCATCAGCGGTTACTAGAAGCTATTCGTCAAGCCTCATGCCCTAAGTGTGGAGGCAAAACTGCAATTGGCGAGATGTGCTTCGAAGAGCACCATCTTCGCATCCTCAACGCTCGTATGACTGAAGAGGTACTAGATTTGAACTAGATAGTTTCTATAATATAAATGTAAATGTTCATTAACAATTGAACACTGACTATTTCAATGAATGAAGCATACAAATAACACTTCATAAATGATTAAACAAGTTGCGTTTCCTGTTTTGTGGGTTATATAGATCAAGCAACTTTCCGCCAAAGCGGAAAAGATAAAAACGATAACGGGTAAGCCGGTAATGAGCCATCCCGGTATGTCTCCTCCTATTCCTCCTCCAACTTTCGAGTTCGGGATGGGATCTGATGGAAGAGATGTGTATGGAAATGTCGGAAACCACTCGAGGGAAACCACTGGACCGGCAGATAATAAGCCGATCATCATGGAGTTGGCAGTTGGAGCCATGGAAGAATTCTTGGTGATGGCTCAAGTGGCTGAACCACTGTGGATGGGAGGACTTGATGGTACTAGCTTAGCTTTGAACTTGGATGAATACACAAGAACGTTTCGCAAGGGTCTCGGTCCTAGACTTAACGGGTTTCGAACCGAGGCATCCAGGGAAACCGGACTCGTGGCAATGTGTCCTATTGGGATTGTTGAGATGCTTATGGACGAGGTAAGTTAATCTATCAAATTATGATCATAACTAATCCTTTTTAAATATACTATAGCATATATATAATAGGTCAGGTGTGTAATTAATGATCTAAATTTGCAGAATCTGTGGTCAACAATGTTTCTCGGAATTGTTGGTAGAGCCAAGACTCATGAACAGATATTGGCTGATGCTGCTGGAAACTTCACTGGAAATCTCCAAATAGTAATTCTTCTACTTTACTTTACTTTCTTTTTTTAGTTATACAAAAAGAAAAAACAACTAAAACCATGTTTGATATAATTAACCAATATTGTTCTTCTTCATATAGATGAGTGCTGAGTACCAAGTGCTTTCGCCGCTGGTCTCGACCCGCGACTGCTACTTCGTCCGCTACTGTAAGCAGCAAGGAGAGGGTTTGTGGGCGGTGGTTGATGTTTCCATCGACCATCTCCTCCCAAACCTTCACCTAAAATGTCGCCGCCGCCCCTCTGGATGTCTGATTCAAGAAATTCATAGTGGTTACTCCAAGGTATGTAACTTATTGTCACATTATGGGTATTTTTGTATACGGATGATCATATAGTTTAAATTTTAAATGAATTTTCTTTTCTTTTTTGGTTTGAAAAAGGTTACATGGGTGGAACATGTGGAAGTAGATGACAGTGCAGGAAGGTACAGCATCTTTAAGCACTTAATCTGTACTGGTCAAGCTTTTGCTGCTAACCGCTGGGTTGCAGCATTGGTACGCCAGTGTGAGCGAATATCTAGCATGTTGGCTACAGATTTTCAATCCGTCGATTCCGGTGATCACATAAGTATACTCACTACCAAATTTGCTTCAAATGGAAAATGTATTCTCTCTTTTTTTGCTTTTCTTAACCGTTTTGTGACATTGTGCAGCGCTAACGAACCATGGAAAGATGAGCATGCTGAAAATAGCTGAGCGGGTTGCGAGAAGCTTCTTTAATGGATTGACCAGTTCGATGGGGTCTACATTTTCTGGTGTTGCTGGTGAGGATATCAGAGTGATGACAATGAAGAGCGTGAATGATCTAGGAAAGCCTCCCGGTATCATTCTTTGTGCAGCCACTTCCTTTTGGGTTCCTGTTCCTCCTCAGACTGTCTTTGACTACCTCAGAGATGAGACTAATCGAGCCCAGGTATACTTAGTTAGGACAAGACTTTTTTTTTTTTTTTTATGTTCTTTATATAACATGTTTTGAGATATATGTATCTGCAGTGGGATGTTCTCTGCAAAGGAGAGATGATGCAGAAGATAGCAGAGGTTACAAATGGGAGAGACAATAGGAACTGTGCAAGTTTACTCCGGGTAATATACCTAACTTGTGTTTTTGAAAGTGTAATATAATTTTATCTTTTGGTGTGTGACCGATGTTTTTATTGGTTACAGAAAGTAAACACTTGCCAGACCAAGATGATGATAGTTCAAGAGACCTCTGCTGATCCAACAGCTTCATTTGTGCTCTATGCGCCTGTTGATATGAAATCAATGGAGATTTCTCTCCATGGAGGTGGTGATCCTGACTTTGTGGCTCTGCTTCCTTATGGTTTTGCTATTCTTCCGGATGGTACGGGTCAGCCTGGAGGAAACGAAGGAGGATCACTCCTGACCGTTTCCTTCCAAATGCTGGTTGAGTCAGGTCCTTCTGGTCAGCTGAGTATTAGCTCTGTTGCAACCGTTGAGAATCTGATTCGTACAACCGTGCTGAGGATCAAGGCTTTGTTTCCTTGTCAGACTGCTTGAACCACCCCCATTTCGGTAATGTATCGAATCCATTTCATAAACAAAGTTAAAACTATCGAGTACTTGCTACGCATTTAAGGTGCTGATGACGTTTTTGTGTGGTTTTTTTACAGGAAAGTGAGCTTAATGGAAGAAGGAGAGTGAGTTTGTGTTGAAGATCGGGTTTTAGAGTTTATTGGAGAGCTTCAAAAGGGGAGGAGTCAAGAACGAACCTCAAGGAGATTGGTTTTAGGAGGTTCGGGATTTGACTTGCCCTGGAATATACCCATTCCAGATGGAAAATTATCCTTTCGTTTGAGTCTTTTATTTCCTTGTCATTGTTGGAACCTTTTGCTATTTCAGTTGAGTCTGTTATTTCCTTGTCACTGTTGGACTTGGACCTTTTGCTATTTCAGTTGAGTCTTCTGTTTCCTTGTCATTGTTGGACTTGGACCTTTTGTTATTTCATTTGAGTCTGTTGTTTCCTTGTCATTGGACTTGGAACCTCTTGTTATTTCAGTTGAGTCTTCTTCTGATTCCTAGTCATTGTTGGACTTGGAACTTATTGTTATTTCAATTGAGTCTGTTGTTTCCTTGTCACTGTTGGACTTGGAACTTTTATGAAGTTATTGAGTACTCTTTTTCTCTATTTGATGAGTTTCAAATTTTGTTTTTTTTCTTATTTCTGTTGGCTTTAGATCTTCTTCTAGAGTATGGATATTTCTTTTGTAGTCTATTTCTGGAGTTTGATTTATCAAAAGTTCACAACAAGACAAAAAAAATCTGAGCTGATAAAACCTGTCTTGGGTTGTGATTTGTCAAGACCCAATGTAAACTCTTTGGTGAAGTGAACTTGTTGATATTGCTAAAACAAAAGTCTCATTGAAAAGTTGAGCCAAATCCAATCAAGCAGAAATTCTCTGAGACAAAATAGAAAAGTCACATGCTTGATCAGTACTACCTCAAGCACGCTTTCTCCTGGCCAAAATAGCAGGTCTCTTGCCATCAGCTCCACTGCTTTTGCTGGATCGAGAAAGAAGACCACGAAGAAGAGCTAGAATACCAACACCCATGAATGGCAAATGCATCATCAACAATTTCTCAGATGCCTTCCCTGAACCTACCATCTCTCCCAGTATAGCAGCCTAATGAATACTCAAAATCAGATTCTTCATCAAAAGGCATATATACCATAACAGTTCCATAGCAATTTATTCAAAAAGATTCACATTTCAGAACAGTAAGAGAAGTTCATAACTTACTAAATCTAATAACCATGAAACTTGTCATTCAACATAGTAGAAACTCAAACTCATCAACATACAATGTTGTGAATCTGGGGAACCAAATGAAATTTTGAATCAAGCATATACAAATCTCACTAGTCTGCTCCTAGTTCATACTTTGTTATGGTCCAGTTTCATACATTGATCACCAATAAACACTTCTCTCATAACCTTCATTAATCATCAATACCAAACATACACAACATTTTGACTCTAAATCCCTAAATCAAACACATTATATCCAAATTTCTCAGAAAAAATGGAGAGCGAGATTAAGATCAAATGTACCATAGAAGTCACGACGGAAGCTCCGTACACCATTGAGGTGGTACCAAACCAAGATTTCCCGGCGAGAATTGCGTAGACGTTGACGATCGAGAGCGGCCAAAGAAGCAGAAGCTCGTGCCAGATGAGTCCTACGAGGAAATGCGGCTTCTCCTTGGCTAGATAATCTCCAAATTCATCGATGTACCAACGATTCAGATCGACGAGAAACGCCGGGAAGATATCTCCGGGAAGACTTATTTGACTGTCGATGAGCGGCGCAACGATCGCCATTAGAGCAAAGTATAAGAAGAGAACTGCATCGATCAACTTGCAAAATGCTCCCATTTTTTTTTTTTTCTCTGCTTTTTTATCTGTAGTTGATTGACCACGAGAAAGAACGAAGACGAAGAAGAGCGCCGGTAGGCCAGGACATTCGGTTAATCATTCGGTCGGTAAGTTCAGATATGGTAATATAATATATGAATATTTTAAGAATTTTTCAGTCCGTTAATTTTTTGTTTGGTTCAGTTCAGATATTTGAAAAGATAATTGTAACTTAACCAAAATTTAATATGTTTGGTCTGGGTCGGTTTTTAACCCAAAATAACCGAAATATGATGTGTTTTCCTAGAGTATAGATATTTCTTTTGTAGTCTATTTCTGGAGTTTGATTTATCAAAAGTTGACACCTTTTATTCCCAAGTCTCTCTCTCTTTTGCAAGAGAGGTTAACGAGTTTTTGGCTGTTGGCTATGGTTTTCTATTGACCAAACCCAACCAGACCAATAAGCTGATAAAATCTGTCTTGGGTCGTGTAATTTGTGAAAAGACCCAATGTAAACTCTTTGGTGAGGTGAACTGTTGATATTGCTAAAAAAAACAGTAACTTCAACAAGAATTCAGCAGAAAGGTTCAAAATTTTCTCATGGAAATGTTGAAAGCCATATCCAATCAAGAAGAAATTCTCTGAGACAAAATAGAGAAGTCACATGCTTGATCAGAACTACCTCAAGCACGCTTTCTCCTGGCCAAAATAGCAGGTCTCTTACCAACAGCTCCACCGCTTTTGTTGGATTGAGAGAGAAGACCGCGAAGAAGAGCTAGAATACCAATTCCCATGAATGGCACATAAATTATCAACAATTTCTCAGATGCCTTCCCTGAACCTATCATCTCTCCCAGTATAGCAGCCTATATAAGAAATGAATAGTCATAATCAGTTTCTTCATCACAAGGCATATATACCATAACAGCTCCATAGCAGTTTATTCAGAAAGATTCACATTGCAGAACTGTAAGAGAAAGTTCATAACTTAACTAATTCTAATAACCGTGAAACTGGTCTACATAGAAGAAACTCAAAATCTCTTTCTCTCATCAGTGAATCTGAGGAGCATAATTGCAATCAACAATATGCATTGATAACATATGAAACTGGTCAACATAGTAGAAACTCAAAATGTCTGTCTCTCATCAACATACAATGTTGTGTATCTGGGGAACCATAACTGCAATTAACAACATGCACTGAAACCAAATGAAATCTTGAATCAAGCATATACAGATCCCACTAGTCTGCTTTGTAATGGTCAAGTTTAATAGACTTATACAGTATCAATCCAACAGAGAGTTCTCTCATCAAGCTCAGATTTCAGATCAATACCAAAACATACACAACATTTCCTCAAAATTTCAGCAGATCAACAAAATTTTCACACTAAATCAAACACATTTTCTAATTTCTCAGAAAACTCGAGAGCGAGATTAAGATCTAAATGTACCATAGAAGTCACGACGGAAGCTCCGTACACCATGGAAGTGGTACTGAACCAAGATTTCCCGGCGAGAATTGCGTAGACGTTGACGATCGAGAGCGGCCAAAGAAGCAGAAGCTCGTGCCAGACGAGTCCGACGAGGAAATGCGGCTTATCCTTGACTAGATAATCTCCAAATTCATCGATGTACCAGCGGTTCAGATCGACGATAAACGCCGGGAAGATATCGCCGGGGAGACTTGTTTGACCGTCGATGAGCGGTGCAATGACCGCCATTAGAGCGAAGTATAAGAAGAGAACCGCATCGATTAACTTGCAAAATGCTCCCATTTTTTTTTTCTTTTTCTTCAATGGATTTTTTTTGTTCTTTTTTTCTTTCTCTGCTTTAATGTGTCGTTGACCGCGAGAACGAAGAAGACGAAGAGCCGGCTACTTAATAATTGACCAAATCTAAATTAAACCGAATCGGTTTAACGGGCTGCCATTATTCCGGTTCGATTCAGTGGTTTATTAGAACGCATTTATTGCATTGATACCATTTTTTGTTATCATCTTTCTCAGTGTGGTCCCCCTTACATAGAGAAGTCATCATGAACTGAATAGCTAGCCTTAGTTTGAGTCCTCGTTGTAACAATACCGGTGTAGATCATCTTGCGAAATGTGCAAGAACAGAGGATTTCGGTTTTCCCATGTATGTTCGACAGTTCCCGATTGACTATCTTTAAAAGAAAAGTCTTGGTCAGAAAACTTAATTAATGGAGATTTGGATGTAGAAGAAAAACAAAAACAATCAAAATTGGCTTACTTTAGAACAATCGTTCCTCCTAATTGTATTGTATGAACCAGACCAGTGCAAACAAAGAGGAGTATCCAAAAAACAGAAAAAAAAAGTAGTCATCCAATAGCATAAGGACTGCATGCACAAAGAGAGCCCATGATCTGTTACAAAACCTCATGTTCTAAACATATGAATAAGTTTCACGTCCTCTACATAGTTTAGAGAGATGAAAACTCTACGCTTCTCGTACTCATCCATTTCAACTCTTCTGATAGTTTCCCTATCGAAATTGTAATAGAAAATATAGAAAGGGCTAGATATACATGATGATGACAAAACAAGTTCATTGGTACCAGTCACTCCAATAGAGTATAAGTGGTCCTTTGCAACTTCAGTCTTCCACAAAATGGGCATAACGAAAATAAGCTTCAACCATTCTTGTTTCCCTGCGTCTACTAACACCCACAATTCAAGCCGATTATCTAACACTACTGTAAGTGCACCTAATTTACCCTTGTAGTTAACCAGCGTGTAAAAATCATGCGACCACAATTCCATGCCCTTATCTTTTTAATAAGATTAATCTTTTCAGACCTAACATCAAAACATATTATCTTAGAAAACCCACCGACGAAAGCTTGATAATACAAACCACCATTGATGCATATTCCAGTTTGATCTTCTCTAGGATTATGTGGTATGCAACATTCGATCATTCTCCATGACATTTTTCCAGTGCTTAAAGTCAGAACTTGGTGCTCCTCACATACCTGCTGCTTTTGCTGGTCTTGTAATTCATATCTTTGCTCTTATATTTCATATCTTGGCCTGCTCATGGACAAGATCTTGTACTGTTTCTCAATCGGATCATACCCAAAAAAGCTTATAACGTTGCATCTCCTCGTCTTCATTGTGGATAAAGATAAGGATTCTCCAGTGCTAGGGTTACATATCACTGGCACCGTTCTCGTCCTTCCGTTTAAGAACCGTCTGTCTATAAGACAGACCAAGCCTTGGACAAGACCAAGAATTTTACAGGGACCAGAAAAGGGGAGGCGCTTAAGATGATTGATACTTACCGGAGACGAGTTCACTTCCAGACTTCGAGGCTGAGGCCAGGAGGAGAAGAAGAATTCTCCGTTTGTTTGGTAGGCGACCAATATCTGCGGTCGAGCCAAAGATCTTGTCAAAAACAACTCTGTGAAATCTGGACGGCGAAGTACGGAGGTCCAGAGCTTCGATACGCAACGACATCTTGCTATAGACTTCACCGACAACCTAGATAATATCTCGACAATGAGATCAACTGGGATCGGCAAAGAGTTTTCTAGATTATTAAGTGAGGTCTTCTGTCGCGTATTGCGTTGGGATATAGTTGAAACATCCTCAGAGACGTGCTGCTGCAGTGTTTTCATGGCGAAGACACTACTTTGAAACCCTAGAGTCCCTTGGAGAGAAACTATATATATATGAGGTCTAATGGTGACAACAGTTAAACCGGCTACCACTATTCCGGTTAGTAAAGACACTTTCAAATTTGCATTGCCTTAAGCAAATTCTTTAGCAAGGTACATTTCTAATAGTGTTACTAGATGGACGTTTTAGATCTTATTGCTCTGTGTTGAGAGACTTGTTCGTGTTGGCACCTTTGTTTCAGTTTACCATTTATACAAGTATGCCGACAAAAAAGAAAAGAGTTCCATTTTCAATGTTATTTATTCATGACTCAGTTCACTTGCTCTTCTTGCAACATTGAAGTGTAATCTTATTTATGTACCTTTCTAAGTGTAATGTTATATCTGTAGTCATTTTAAAACAAATGGTATAACTCTTTTTTATCTATCTAACCGTGGAGTTTCATGATCCTTTGACTGCGAATTCTCACCTGAACTTTGACCAGCTTTGAGTTTCTTACTGCTCTTCTCCTTAAGCATCTCCTTAATCTCTGCTTCTCTCTTATCAACAACTTTGATCAAATCCTTGAAACTCACTGCTCTCAAACTTTTCCCTCTAGAAGAACCAGCCTCCTCGCTCCTCGCCCGTACCTCATCACTTTCTTCTGGTCTTAACCGTTGGTATTGCCAGAAAACTTTCCAGCAGAAGAGTGTTAGTGCAATGAACCAAACGATGCCACAGATTAGGAAGAGTCCCCAGAAACTCTGTACCGATATTTGATAGTTTTCTGTGTCTGAAATCTGCATTGTGCATTCATGGTCGTAGGTAAGCCATTTCTTGCGGATTTTCTCGAGTTTTCCATCTTCAGCCAGTTGCAGGATCGCAGTCGACATGTCCACAGCTAGAGGAGAATCTCTCTGGAACGCCTGCAAGAATCGAGATCCATTTAAGAAAAGTTTTAACAGAGACTGATCTTAAAGAAATGAAGTTGGCTTTACATACAAATCCCCAGCCTGTCCGGGTGAATTCCTGTCCAACTGTACGGAACTTGCAGTTGCTGTTTGATAAAAGAGCTTTGATGTAAGGAAGCTCGTCGACAATGGCTGCCACACCACCGCCTCTGGGACCACGTTGAAGAGCAGAGAGATATTCTTCTTCATCTTTCAGCGGTATGATTCTTGATGGAGCTATGTTAAGTTCATTGACCAGATATTTCCACGCAAAGGTACCGTCTTGGACTCCAATGGGTTCGTTGCTTGCTATTAGAGTGTCCATTCCTTCTATCCGAGATGTTAGCTGTTGAACGGTGAGGATTGAAGTGAGACTGGCTGTGTAGCTTGAGTTGATGATTAGAACCACAAATAACCATACGAGTAGCACAAACCTCCCCAACGTGCTCACCGTGTTCTCCCCTGAAGATCAAGAAAGGAAGAAGAATAAAACAACTTGAGAGCTTGGTAACAAAAGATAAAAACCGAGAGTTTCTTCTCTTTGATTTTTTGTAGGATCCAATTTGTAATCGAGTACATACTGTGAGAGAAGAACATTGTCGAGAAGCTAAACCTGAAACGTTCAAGACCAGAAACGAAGGGGTTTTAGCGCTTACGCTGAAACTTATAAATATGAGTTTTTGTGTCAATTCACTAATTGTATGGAACTAACCAGAAGACGGTAATGATTTGACGCCTAGGAGGTCCGCGGAATTCTTCGTTAAAGCGGTGTTCAAGAATCCAAATGACGGCTCCAACAAAGAGAAAAAGGGCACCGGTCACAGCCCACATCTCTATAGTGAATGGCTTCAAGAAGGACCAAGGACTAGACTTGGCCCCCTTCACTGGAGCTACCACCACAAGCCCTGATTCTATAAATGGCTGCGTGAAATCTACAAACTTGGTTCTGTTTGTAATGATGGTAACATCCCCAACAGCTGCATCGAAACTCTAGAGACAAAAGACAGAAAAAATATAAGTATACTGATCCCCCAACAGCTACATCGAAACTCTAGAGACATAAAACAGAAAAAATATAAGTATACTGTTTCGTGTACTTGATTGAGTAAATGAAAGACGAAGGAAGACTCACATTTGCAGCAACTTCACTTATGAGGTTGTCATATGAAGGATTTTTCTTCCCGTCCCCGTATAGTATGTAAGTACGTGGAACGGGATATGGAAGCAATTGAACCGCAGCTTCAAAGATGTCAATGCAATAGCCTTTAACACCAAGTGGGTTATTGTCCTTAGAAGCATAGTTTTTGTAGCTCACACGGTTAGGCACCCCGATTTTCAGCGGCTTTCCATTGTCAGGGAAAACCCAACCCCGAGGTGGCTTTATTACTTCCCCTGGCCATATGATCCCATTAAGACGTTGGTTTTTTGCAGATATGTTTGAAGGCTTAGAGTATAGTGTCTCCGGAGGCACGACTGAGAAACCTGTATGATTCGACCAGTACCCAACTCTCTGTGGACCTGTACTTTTTATGTTTACAATGTCGTAAGCTGGATTAATCCGGTTTTTCTCCGAATTAAACTCGATTTGTCCAGTCAGACCTGTAAAATTCATCTCAAGCATGACCTGCAAGAACCTCTCCCCTTCATTGAAAATGTTAAGTTTTGATAGCTTAATGTTGCTATCGTTGGTATTCCTCAGATTTGGATCATTAGAGAAGGTCACTGTATTGCCTTGGCTGAAGAAAACATCAAGAGCATGAGCTACCAACCAAACAGAATCGTAAGCATACAGCGCGTAAGAATTGAAGCCATCATCACTTTTTAAACTCTCCTTGGATCTAAGGTTTTTCCATCTTGCTTTAAACCGTTTTTTGTTGTCACTCTCAGGTGTGTAATGACCAAATGCAACCACTCCTTGCAAGAGATCCATAGCTTTGGTATCCAACGGTTCGATGGAATCCAAAGCTGTAAGAAGCCAATCACTGGTGATCCAGACATAGCCACTTCCCATCATTCCAAGAGATTTGGCGACAGAGAATATGTTTAAACCCGAATCTGGATTCACATGAACAACAAAGATGCGAGATTCCATCAGATTAACAGAAGCCAATAAATCACTGATTGAGCTACTATCTGCACCAGGTGTAAATGCAGCCTTGTAAGAGATCTTGGCACGTTTCTTGGCTAAAATATCGCCTAAGACAGATATCCCGTTCCTACCATACTCATCATCCACAAAGATCGCAACAACTTCTCTCCATCGGAAATAGGATACAAAATCCGCGATTGCATTCATCTGGAAGTAGTCGTTCTGTGTGGTACGAAGGAAATAAGGGTACTGAAGCGAAGAAAGAGTCGGGTCCGTTGCTGCAAATGACAGGAGAGGTACATGAAGCTCATTAGCTACATGGGAGATTATGTGACCAATTCCTGAAGATTGTGGACCAATGGCTGCAACAACCCTGTTCTCCATTAGCTGCAAAGCTACACCATAAGAAAACATATCACCAATCTACTTCCTCATTTCGAAAAAGCAATCCATGTGCAAAACAAAGATTTTAACAAGAGGTTCATTGGGGCATTTTCTCAAGCAACTTTCAGGCATAACTAAACAAGCTTGGTACAGTCTACGAAAAGTACCTCCCATGGTGCCAACAAATCCACTGCAATTTGCGTCCTGGAAGACGATATTAAGCTTGGTGCCCCTGAGAATACTCTGATCAGCATTAACGTCGTCAATGGCCACCACAAACGCAAGTTTGGCCGCTCTTCCAATGAAAGAATCATAAGTAAACAGAGCTCCAACGTTTACAGAGCTTGGCAGAGGAGAAGAAGAAGAGTTTCTTGAGAAACTTTCTCTACCAGCTCCTTGTATTGGCAAAACCCACAAAGCAAAAACACATAGGAGCATAAGTCCCATGGAAACATCTCTGACTCTAATCATCACGAAAAATCCCATCTTTAAATCGGAAAAAGGAGCGATTTTCACGGGCTCATGATAGACCCACTTGATGATTCGGAGTTAGAAAAAATCTGATCGAACAGGCATTAACGACCATTGATTTTAACATCAACATCAACTAGAAAAATATGGGTCAGACAAAAAAAGACAAAAGGGTCGTGAAAATTTTAATAACATTGTATCGAACCAAGAATCAAAGACTTAGATTTTTACATATATCTATGTGTTTGTATATACTTTATCTTGGATTCTGTACCGATCAAGAAACAGAACTGAAACTATCTCAGACTTGGTTCAGAAAAAAAAAAACCATAGTAATAAATAATTCAATTCAATGAGCATCTGCCATGGTTGATGGCAATAAATTAAGAGAAATAAAAAATGGTGGGTCAGACAAAACAAATTAGCATACGAATAAAATCCCTAATAAGAAAAAGCTCCAAGTTGGATAAAAGAAAAGTTCATGAGTTCATACTTCATAGAACGTGGCAATGATTAGAAAAAAGTTATGCGTAAATAGGCGTACATATATGCATCCAAAGATCCAACCTTTTTTTTAATTTTGAGGAGTTTATATATACAAATTTGGTTGGCTTTTGAAGTTTTTCATATTCTATTAGTACCAAACCTTATCACATAAATCCCCAATGTCATTGCCATATATCTAACTATTTTAAGCTCTAAAGTGTATAAATAATCATGGTAATGATCACTGGTTCTTTCCAGCTCTTTATGTTCGAATATTGACTTACATGTTAACTATATCTAATTCCTTACAATTCATATACATAACAATTTTCTTTCTATAGAGTGGAATCTACTCATCAATTTCGTGGTACCTCAGTATCAGCTTGGACTTCCCCAACATGAGATGGGTTGTTATTAGAGTCATCACTCCTTCTGAACATTCTCTTGATAGCTTCTTCTTTCTCATCCACAAACTCCACGAAATCAAACACCAATTCTCTAAGCCGCATTGAAGGAGAAGACGACCAAGATGCGCGTGGCAACGAGCATGTTCTCTCCATCCGTCTGTATCGCACGAACTGACGTATCATCCTGAGAACAAACACTATAAACGCAGAGACTGTGATTGCAATGCAGACAAGGTACAACCCTTTGAAGCTCTTGAGATGAAGCTGGTTTGGCTCTGGGTTCCAATTTGATTTCTCTGCGCAATTCTTCTTGCATAACCATTTCTTTCGAATCTCTTGCAATTTCCTGGTCTCAGAGAGTTTCAAGATAGCTGTTGACATGTCTATAGCCAGTGGAGAATCTCTCTTAAACGCCTGTTAAACAAAAAAACAAGTTCAAACCTTTTTGTGATTAATTTCTGATTAAGAGAAACGTGAAAAACATACTTACAAATCCCCAACCACGGTGCATAAAGGGCTCTCCGACAATCTTGAAGCCTGTTCGTTCTGCTAGAAACAGTTCGATGTAAGGGAGTTCGTCGACAATAGCAGCCACACCTCCCCAGTTGGTTGGTCCTAGCTTTAGAGCCTTTTCATACTCCTCGGTCGAGTCAAGTGGGACTAGCCTAGAGCGAGCCATGCCAAGACTGTAGGTTAAATACTCTAATGTGAATGTCCCAGCCTGGTACCCGATAGGCACTTCACTTGCCCGCAAGCTGTCGATGCCGGTAATGGCAGAAGGAAGCTGTTGAACTGTGAGGATTGAGGTGAGGTTCGCTGTGTAGCTCGCGGTTAGAACCATCAATAGGAAGAGCCATACAATCATCACTAGTCTTGCTAGATTGCTTATCGTATCTTCCTCTGTTGACATGACAGGATAAAATAGAAAGATCGCTGATATGAGTTGATAGAAAAATCAATACAGAGTTAAATATGTATCAGACAGATTCTTAAATGCAACTCTAAAATTGTTTTTTATCTCTTGCTTGATGCTTTTTAAAGAAAGATGGATGGGATTAAGGCTACTCACGGTTTCTCTTGAAAAGAGTTGAAAAGCTGAATCTGCAAGCACATATCAGACTGGATGTGTCAGATAAAACTCCAAGAATGAACTATCAAGTTCGGACTATTTACGAGCTGAACTTACAAGATCATTGTGGTGAACTGTCTTCGGGGCGGCCCTCTGAAATCTTCATTGATGCGATGTTCGAGGATCCAGATGACTACGGCAATAACCAGGAATGAAACTAGAACAACGCACCATAACCGGATGGTGAAGGGTCTCAGAAAGATCCAAGTTGCATTGTCATCATTGGCTGGAATCACCACCACAAGGCCTGTGGAAGCATATGGTTGCGAGAAATCCACTAATTTGGACCGGCTTGGGACTATTGCAATATCCCCAACAGCTGCATCATATACCTGAAACAAAGGGAAAAACAAGGAATTGCTCAACCATTATCTCAGTAAAAGTTACTCTGGGAATGTTTCTGAGCCTTTCCGAATCAGTTTTGAACGTTTTAGAAGTGGATACTTACGCCATCCGTGACCATTTGAATAAGCTGGTTGTAATTAGGACTTGAATGACCATTCCCGAATGGCTCAAATATGTAAGGAACACTGTAAGGGACGAACTTCAATGCTTCAATGAAGACGTCGATACAAAATCCTTGGATCCGATGGCTACTGTTCTTTTCTTCATTCACAAACTCAACAAAACTCACTCTTCTCGGGACAACAATCTTCAATGGATCTGCAGAATCTGCAATGACCCAACCACGTGGCTTTTCACGGCCACCACCAGGCCAGGTTATGTCTCCAAGTTTTTCATCAGAACCAAACCTAGTCTTCTTCTGTGAATGTCGGGTTTTTGGGGCTCCAACCGAAAAGCCTCCATTTTTCGACCAGAAACCCACAGTATGAACACCGGTTTTGTCTACATTGATAATTTCGTACTCACAGCCAATGACGTTTCGGCCAGAACCAAACTGAACTTGACCGGCTATACCAGTGAAGTTCACCTTCAGAAGTTTCTCAAGTAGTAGCTCCCCGCTGTTGAAAAATTTGATTTTTTCCAAATGCAGTTTAGTTCCTCGTGCATGAAGTAACTTTTCGGAGTAAGAAAACGTTATGTTGATTCCTTGATTCAGCAACTTCTCGATGCCGTACGCAATCATCCACACTGTATCATAGGCATGGAATGCGTAGGCATTCATTGATCTGTTGCTATGCAGTTTCTGTGTGAATTGTTGCACCTTTTCGGATTCTGGGATGTGTTGACGAAGCCCCACTACTCCTTCAAGACGTTTTAAAGTACCTTTGTCACTCAAAGAAGAATCTAAAGTAACTGAGAGCCAGTCTGTGGCGAGCCACACGTATTCATGGGTCATCATCTGCAGCTTTTGCGCTGTATCAAAAATTCTGAGCGATGGGTCTGGACCAAAATGAAGAATATAAACTCGAGGACCGATGGACTTGGATTTGTTTAAAGCATCAGTAAGGAATTTTTCATCAGAATGCACTGAGAGCGGCACTTTATAGGAAATTCGGGATCTTTTCTTGTACAGTTCATCATCTAGAGCAGAAATTCCATTTCTTCCGAGCTCATCATCAGAGTAAACTGATATCACCTCTTTCCAACCATAAAAATTGATAAGATCCACAAGGGCAGACATTTGGTGGGCATCATTAGGTGTAGTCCGAAGAAAGAAGGGAAATTGGAGAGCAGAGAGAGTTGGATCAGTTGCTGCAAATGAGACAAGAGGAAAGTGGAGCCCTTTAGCAATATCGGAAATTGTATGAGCAACAGAGGATGAAATTGGACCGATGATAGCCACCACTTCTTTCTCAAGCAATTCAAAAGCTGCAAAACAACAACCACTGAAGCTTAAACCAGGCCGTTAGTGGTAAAACCAAAATTTTGTTTCCAATTATGCACAGGAAACACTTGTTCTAGTAAGTAACAGCCTGCTTAGGGTATGCTCTATATTGTTCTGTGCATTATTAGCATTTGGAACTCGAAAAATGTAACAATAAAAACCTGATTTAAAACGTAATTGATGTGCCAATCATTTCCAACTATCACAAAATCAAAAGTTTCTGATGGGGCCATGGATGAATGTCACAAGTGTTTGAACACAAAAGAAATAGAAGAACAGTCACGGTACCTCCAAAGGACCCACGGAAGACATTGCAGCCAGAGTCCTCCATGAGAAGCCGTAGCTTCGTTCCTTTGAGAACGGTTGTGTCAGCGTTGACATCGGAGACAGCTGCCTCGAGAGCTACTTTTGCAGCTCTTCCGACAACCGAATCGAAAGCAAAAACGGCACCGATATTCACCACTTGAGGCCTTTGGCAATCCATTGGAACCACCAGAATGACCAGAATCAGTGCCGTAATAGCCACAAATGGGTCAACGCCCAGCCCCATGGAGACAATGCAATCAAAGTAAGGACCAGTTCAAAATAGTTTGTGTTGGAACTAGAACCATCTCTTTTAAATCTAGCGTCTCTTCATTCAGCATTGAGGATGATAAGAAAAGAGAACTAAGCAAGGTAAAATTTCCAACTTTGACCTGTAGAATCAATGTGATTACTGATTAGAAGAAAATCGAATAAAGATCTAAAGGAGGAGCAATCACAAGTCGAACCAAATTGAGTAATTTAGCTAAACAATGTGGATATGAAGACTTTCTATACACAAATTCATCCGGAAATGAGAAATGTCTGAAAGAAGAAGTTTTTTTTATACAAATTCATCGAAATTAACAAGGCAAAACAATACAGAGTAAGAAAACCCGGGAACGGAATCAAAAGACAAACTTACGAAAAAAGAAATCAGTACAATAGTGAAAGAGGTAAAGATTGCTCTTTACCTCTCTGAGCAACCTTCAGGTTCTCTCTGCGGAATATACGCAAACACTTTGCAGGCATAAGTTTAAAAAGGGAAATTTTACGACAAAGCAACGAATTATTAACAAGAGAAGTCGAGAACTAAAAAAAAACCATGATTTGACTGGAGATACCTTCCTAAAGGAAGAAAAACAAAAACTTGAGAGATCAAATCATGCCCAGAAATTCATCATCTTCTTCTTCGTCTCGGAACATAATCGAATAGAGAATTTGAAAAACGTGTGACTGAAGAAGAAGTGCTTCTTTGGATTCTCGAGCTCACAAAGTCCTATCTAGTCTATTAGTCACACAGCAGCCGTTTGTCTATTTGTTTTCAGTGGGGCCCATTATTGTTAGGGCCCTACATCTAACGGCCCATTTTGTTAGATTAGATTAGATTACATTGTTAAAGTGATTATATTTAATTGCCATGTGTTAATCATTTCTTGTTTGATAAGTATAATCATTTTATTTCTTCTCAAAAAAAAATATTCTCTTAAGTTAATATATCAATGAAATGTTAATATATTTTATTTTATTTTTGCTAATTTTCCTAATTAGAAACAAAGATGTAAGAGATTCTTAGGCGGCAAAAAAACTATTCATTTAATAATATTACATAATGAGATTTTATTTAATAATGTTTAGTTCAATTACATATCTTAAAAAAATTCTAGCACATTTTTACGATTTATAATTTATGTGTTAATCATTTCTTGTTTGATAAGTATAATCATTTTATTTCTTCTCAAAAAAAAATTATTCTCTTAAGTTAATATATCAATGAAATGTTAATATATTTTATTTTATTTTTGCTAATTTTCCTAATTAGAAACAGAGATGTAAGAGATTCTTAGGCGGCAAAAAAACTATTCATTTAATAATATTACATAATGAGATTTTATTTAATAATGTTTAGTTCAATTACATATCTTAAAAAATTTCTAGCACATTTTTACGATTTATAATTTTTGTTTTATGTGTTTCATGTAAATCGGGGATTTTTTAATAAATGAAAACACAATCCAGACAATATAAATTTTGATTTTATAAAATGGATAATAATTTACTTTGAAAAAAAGAAATGGATTGTAATTCATATGTATTTATTTATAATTTGTTATACATTAAGGTAATTTTGCAATAATAAATCTTAATTTGCGAAATTTACAATTGTGCCCCTAAATTTTGTGAATGTTTCCAAATTAGGAAGGAAATAAAGAAATGAAGCAACTTTACTCGGCAATGGTTCTCTTATTAAAAGCCATTCTCTTTCTTTCTCACAAGTCACAACCTCTCTCTCTGCGTCTTTCTCTCTGTGAAGTTGAGAACGCGAACCACTGAAAAACCCGCGAAAAGACTCGAGCAAGAACCAACAATGGCGGAACCCAAGACCAAGTACGATCGTCAACTCAGGTATACTCTTTCTCCTCCCAACTCTCTTTCTCTCTACTTCTCCTCTGTTTCTTTCATGTTTCTCCTCAATTTCGCTCAAATTCGTAGGATTTGGGGAGAATTAGGCCAATCGGCTCTTGAAAACGCGAGCATCTGTTTGCTCAATTGTGGCCCAACTGGCTCTGAAGCTCTTAAGAATCTTGTTCTTGGTGGAATCGGAAGTATCACCATCGTTGACGGATCTAAAGTAGAAATTGGCGACCTTGGAAACAATTTCATGGGTATCTTTCTCTCTTTTTCATCTTTGTGAAGAAGCAATGCGTTTCTTCTATTTGCTGTGTATTGACATTTCTTGATTTGTTGTTGATGTTTAGTGGATGCGAAGAGCGTTGGTCAGTCAAAATCCAAAACTGTCTGTGGCTTTCTTCAGGAGATTAACGATGCTGTTAAAGCAAACTTTGTTGAGGAGAATCCAGACACATTGATTTCGACTGACCCATCTTTCTTCTCTCAGTTCACTCTAGTTATCGCCACTCAGGTTCTTCATCTTTCCTTGAACTGCTCGATTAGATACATCTTTAGGATTAGATAGTTTCTAGTCTTTGTTTTCAGATTTTCACAGAGCGTTGCCTTATTAGTTTGCCATGTGTTGATTGTAGCTAGTGGAAGATTCAATGGTGAAATTAGATAAAATCTGCCGGGAAGCAAATGTCATGTTGGTTTTGGCTCGCTCCTATGGCCTTACTGGGTTTGTTCGTATCTGTGTAAAGGTAAGATTTATTGTAGTTGAGTGCTTTGTCACTTGTCATGGTATGTCTGCTAACTGATGATAAGTCATGTCCGCTCTTTCCTATCAGGAGCACACCGCTATCGAGTCAAAGCCTGATCATTTTCTTGATGATCTCCGCTTGAATAATCCATGGCCTGAACTGAAGAGGTACTCTGCTTCAATCTTCTCACTCGTTATGTGTTCTTGGCATCCTTTAAACTTGTGTTACAAATTACTGTTAATCTCCACAAACTTGCCCAACTTGCAACCAGTTGAAAGAAAATCTTATTTATTCAATGATCTGCAGGTATGTGGAGTCCATTGATCTAAATGTAGAAGAACCCGCTGCCCATAAGCACATTCCTTATGTCGTCATTCTAGTCAAGTTGGCTGAAGAATGGGCTCAAACCCATAGCAGCAACCTTCCATCAACCAGGGAAGAGAAAAACGAGTTTAAGGTATCCTTACTTTTTGTTAATCAGCAAACAGTTTTCTTGTGATTCCTTGTATTTATCTCTATTTCTCCTTGAAACTTTAGGATTTGGTTAAGTCCAAGATGGCATCAATGGATGAAGATAACTACAAAGAAGCCATTGTAGCCGCTTTCAAAGTTTTTGCTCCTAGAGGAATCAGTAAGTATACTGGCATCGGTGGAAACTGGACTTCTAAATATATCCTTTATGTACTATAGATGCTGGAAATAATGAAATTGGTTGGACAATGGGAAAAACTGCATCAAGAACCAAATGGACAACTATCATAACATATCAGTTAACATTGGAGTTCAAAATATGAAGTCAGTTTTCACATTGACCTAAACATGTTTTCTTTTTTCTCCAGGCCAAGAGATTCAAGACATTATTCATGATAGATGTGCTGAAGTTGGCTCAAATTCCTCAGATTTTTGGGTAATGGTAGCAGCACTCAAGGTTCGTAACTTTCTTATTGTTATTTCAAACATGGAAGAAGTTGAGAACGTTTGTTGAGGTTTTTAGTATATTTGATTGTTTCTTTGATCTATGTTGGTTTTTTTCTGCTTCCCATCAACATTCATGTTAACCCTACTGATTATACGCATCATCTGCAGGAGTTTATTTCAAATGAAGGTGGTGGGGAGCCACCACTTGAAGGTTCCATGCCTGATATGATATCTTCCACAGAGTTAGTTCTCCTGTTCTGTCTTTCGTTTCAGGGGAGGGATAAAGTTCGTCCATAACCTTTATCAGATTACCCTATAGCTTTATTGTTTCTTTTGCAGGCACTACATCAATTTGCAGAAAATCTACCATTCCAAAGCTGAAGCTGATTTTCTTTCCATGGAGCAGAGAGTAAAAAGCATTCTAGTTAAAGTTGGTCAGGATCCAAGTACCATCCCAAAACCAACTATCAAGATCTTCTGCAAGAATGCAAGAAAACTTAAAGTGAGATTGCTGGAATTTCTTACAATTTCATGTGTACTGTATCATTAAAACCGATTGCGTGTTTTTGAGTAATGTATAATCACTGGGATATGGGCCTTGTAGGTCTGCAGATATCGAACGATAGAGGACGAGTTCAAAAATCCTTCTGCAACAGAACTACATAAGTACTTGGCTGATGAGGATTACAGGTGCGAATGTCTACGTCGAGATTGATTCTTTTGTACGACCATAGAGACTGTGATGACAAAAATATTGCTGGAGTATATTTGTTTAGAGGCATGTTGCTGTTAGCTCTTAAGGCTCTTACCACTTTTCTGTTTACTCCTCTTGCAGTAGCGCAATTGGATTTTATATTCTTCTTAGAGCTGTTGATAGATTTGCTGCGACCTATAAGAAGTTTCCTGGACTGTTTGATGGGTAAGAGAACACATTCTGGCAAAAGTAGATTGTATCCTGAACAATTTTGGCATAGTTAGGCCATTAACATGTCTCTTTTCTCATAGATCAACTGATGATGACGCATCCCAGTTAAAGACTATTGCCCTGAGTCTTCTTAGCGAAATGGGTTGTGACGGCTATGTACTTAAGGAAGAACTTTATAGTGAGATGTGTAGATTTGGGGCTGCAGAGATTCACGTGGTTGCCGCTTTCATAGGAGGAGTGGCATCTCAAGAAGTGATCAAGGTTCGTTTCATATCCATGTGTCTCTCAAAATGGTCACTGAGCAGTATCAAATGTATTGGATTGTGAAACTAAACATTAACCTCTTTTATTGTTTGCCAATGTTTGCAGCTTATCACGAAGCAGTTTGTTCCCATGCTAGGAACTTTCATCTTCAACGGCATTGATCACAGGTCTCAGTCTTTGAAATTATAGAAGATTCTTAGACACTGGTGGCTGCAGAAGAACTCCTACATACCTTTTGATCCTCACTTCAAGTTGAAAACTTAACCTATTTTTGGAGTTTTTATTCTGCCATGCACCAGACTAACTAGATATAATTCTTCGTAGAAACAGTTTCGAATTCCTCATGTATATTTATTGATTTTTGAGCCGCGGTTCAAAACCGAAGAGCTCGTGTTAAGTGATGGGCATAGAGCCATTATAGTATGACTTTGGTAAAACTAAATTCTTTTGTCTTTTCAAAATAGAGGCATAGACTGCAAATTATAAAAGATCAGAATTTTGACTAAAACAAAGTACAGAGGTCTACAGAAGAATACAACAACAAACCACTGATGCGGTTGGGGGACTACATAATAAACCATTCCAGACTCGTTTCTTAGATGATGACAAACCAGAATTGGCGAAACAATAGAGATGAAACAGACAGACAAAGCTACTCGGTGGAGAGTCTCTTTGTGGGATTATAAACGCTGAATTCTCCGAAGTCTCTTCGGCCACTAGCAACAAAACAATCAAACCCTTGTAAAGAACAAGGTCCAAACAAATTCACTTCAGTTAATTCAAAGACTTTTGGTTCTCTAACACCAACGTATAACGTTTACCTGTGACTAACATTCCAACCACCAGGTAAATGGCGGGGATGAACAGCATCAACGAACACTTTTCTCCACCTTTGACAGAAATCTCGAACACCATCCTCTCCGTGTTCCCTTAAAATGTATTCTACAATCTGTTTCCCATGCGGCCCATGTCCTAACAAAGAGAGTTTGGAGTTTTGTTGGTGCAGCGTATTTCCATTAC